AATTAAAAAAACAGAAGAATGCTCATCTCTTTAGAGTACATTTCCCCAGAGTCTCACATGATATCAAGCAGAGAAGAAGGGCTGTGCTTTTTGATGGAAAAATAAATGACACTTAAAATTTAAGCAGAGGGAAAAATAACTGGGAGGTAAATCAAGTGATTTCTGTTAAGATAGAGGATGAAGAAAAGCTCCTTGCCTATCATATCTTAGATACAAATGAGTAATTCTGTTTGTAAGATAATATTTTGAAACTTCTCAGTTTGAAAACAAGGATATGAGACATTAAAAAAAAACCAAAACTGTCCAGTGTTCCACCATTACATCATTGTTCAGAAAGTAATCAAGTTGGCTAAAATCCCATGGCAATACACTAACCCCTCTGTTTTTAAATCCCTCCAGTCTTGTTACCTCATTTCACTGTGCTGAATCCTAGCAACAGTTCCAGCTTTCACCTACAATGCGGTAAAATTTTCTACTGAAACAAGGGCTCATGTCTGTCTTCTAATACCCCAGCAACAACACAAGTGTAAAATCTGTTAAGGTTTGATGGGAAATAATAACAGTAAATAAATAAATAAATCAAGAATTGCAAATTACTGCTAGACAAAGAAGATCAGTTGAATAAGAGGACTTGTATGACTACATCCATGGAAACTGGCTAGAGAGCATTTAAACCTGTTTTAATGAGCAAAAAGACAAGCTAATGATGGCTGGAAAGTAATGGGAACATTGAATTCAACAAAATACATTGTGCTCAAACAAAACCCATCTTAAACAAAACACTTTTAAAAAATCAGTAAATAAGAGTGAAACCCTGTTTATATCAATAAACAATGAGAAAATTTCAGTTAAAAGTTGAGAGTCTTTAAAACTTATCACTCCAGTTGTGAGAAATTCTGGACTAGATAGGTCATTCAATACTGATGTCAATATCTCTTCCTACAGAGAAAATAAAATCTCCTAGGGAGGATTTGGGATCTCCTAGGCTCTCCTAGGATCTCCTAGGATCTCTTAGGATTACGGTCATCTAAGAAGAGATATTAAAAACATTTTAAAGGGAGGTAAATGGTTGACTAAGTGAAATAAAATCAGCAGATCAGAGCCAAAATATAGCCGTATGCTTGGAAGTTGGGTAAAACCTATATATACAGTCCTAAGCCATTAATAAATCAGGGAAGACATAAGACCATTACTTCCATTATACTTCAGATAGGAAGACAGGGTTCACTCCACACAAGCCACAGGGTGCCTAAAATCAACTTCAGTCTGTAAAAACAAATATACTTTCCTGTAATTGTCCAAGAGTCTGGCAACACAATTCAAATGCATCCAGAGCTTCCCACGGAAGGTATAAGTAACTAATCCATGCTACTTTCTCCACTACATTTGAAATGCTAAATGAAGTACAAGGTGCATTCAAAAATCACTTTGCACTCATGTTATGTATGCCAGCCTAATTTTAGGTATAGGTCTGAGTCTATACTTAGGAAATGATGATGGAGAAATCTCGGGTTCAACTCTGTACCTGTAGGCAGAGGAGAGCCTACTTGGAATACATGGTGTACCTGTCTTGGCTACCGGATCTTATTCCATGGGGACTGTGGCAGAATCACAAATTCTGGCACCTCTCCAATGAGAAAAATATCCTGTGATAGAAGAAGAGATGGGATTTTTAATTAACTTAATCTTGGGGTGTAACAGATTAGTTGCAGATAGACAAGGGAATATAGGCCTGGGATCACACCAAGTCTGAATTCTGACTTGAAACGGCAAAGTCCATGTAGACAGCCATAAATACTACCCACTGCCTTATTTAGGTACTTCAGCTTGTAAAAGTAATTCATCCTGTTAGGGATTACACCTGTGCAGTAAGCCACAAGGATGAAAAGCTTTGCACTGTTCGAATACAAATCTCCTTATTGTGTGCACAGACCAGACATAGAACTGAGTTGCTAATGTGCTTAAAATTCAGGCTCCTGGTTCCAATCAGATAAATCAGTTCTTTTTCAAAGTATAAGAGAAAAGGCTCATTTTCACCCCTGGCATAAGAACATGAAGGGGTGTAACAAATCTAGCTCTCAGTAGAGATGAAAAAAATCTGTGAAATAGCTGATAAATATTTGTTCAAGTGCTTTGGGTCCTGACCCAAAAAGCATATGTACAGATGAAAAGCAGATGAGTGCTCCCAGCAAAATAAAAGGAGTATCTGTAAAAATATTCACAGGTCAAAGTCAAGCATACACTAAAACATTTTTCTGGGTGGCTCTGGTCTATGACTGGTATGAGCACAGACTCTAAGCATGGAACTATTGGTATGATTTATTTCAGGCAGAGAGGAATCATTGCTATTATTGTTCTTACTGATACTTTGCAGCCCTCATAGTGAGTGCACTTTGACTTTTATGATGTTTTTCCCTTATCCTAGTGTGGCTTGTTCCCTTGTCACGTATCACAAAGCAGCTTATGCTGGCATAACTGCATCTACAATAGCATTTATATTGGTATTTCTGTAACAGTACATCAGGAAATTATGAGAAATAAATAAAGACAACAACAAAACTCTCATAGCCCTATATGGAACATCCATATCAGACATGGAGTACCTTCTTTCTTATCCTTCTTCTCAGAAAGAACAAAACAACCAATATGCAGGCAAGACTGAACATATAAAATTTTTCTGTACAGGAAGACATTAAATAGTCCAAAGCTCAGACAAAAAGACGTCTGAAAACACTGAGAGAGATCTGTAAATTGTGAAGAATAGAAACAAATGAATATTTATTTTTTCTCATGACGCAAAAATTACAGGTAGTCAAAAAATTATCAGATGTGAAGTTCTAAAAGCAAACAAAGGAAAGGACTTTTACATAAAGCAGAATTAATTGTGCAACTTGTTGCCACAGTAACTTGTAGATGCTAATGGCATCAAGCAGTTTCAAGAGATGATTAGACAAATTAATGAAAGTCTTTCTAAAGAACAGACAAAGATGAAAACACTCTAGGTTATAAGACTGCACTGAATGAAGACAGGCAATACTGGGGAAGTATTAACCAGTGCATGTTCTTCTTCTGGGCCGTTTCAGGCAATTGCCTGTAGGATGTTGGGTTGGACAGCAGAAGGATTTAGATCATGAGGTAAATATTGAAATGTAATTTGTCATGGCAGGCAAACATGGACAGACATTTCCAGTCTCACACACTGTTTTATAGCAAGACCTGCAGCACCTATATTTACAGTGGCTTTTCACCTCCTCTGTGTGTCCACAGGTCCCATGCAAATAGGTCAGGGTAACTGCAGTCCTCTGATTAATTTTGCTCTGCACAGTCTGAGCTGAAGGGACTGGATGACATCTGAGCATAAATAATTTAAGACATATGGAGTCCTAAAAGGACAGGACACCTACACTATGGTGAATGGATGCAAAAATACAAAGATTTTTTTTTTTTTTTTTAGTGTCAAATATCAGTGCAGTGTAAACTATCTAGATTTGATTCCTTGTCAAATGCCTAGTTGCCAAATTCCAAAGACAGCACCTCTGCTTAAGTTTAGATTTAGATACCTTTTTCATTTCAAGCATCCCAGTTTTCTCTAAGTGTCAAATTAGGAGCTACCTTAGAAAACTACAAAAAAAAACCCCCCAAAAAACCCAAAAAACTACACTCTTTAACCAGACAGAATTTGCCAGGGTGAATGACCTAGGTTTGCATTTTTAAAGACATTCAGGTGCCATTTCACCTACTTAACTTCCTGCACTCTCTTGCAAACATCTGAGAACCTTCCGGTCTCCTTAGTTGTGATTAATGGGTCTATTCATGTGTGTAAAGTTATTAACAGAAATATTCATAGAACCAGATACTAAACCAATGAGGAATGAATTAACAGGTTAAAATGGGTATACAGAGCTGATCAGGTTACGCTCCAGCTTAACTTCTTTGTAGTGATGTAAATAATTTCTTTATAATCAACAAAAAAAAAAAAAAAAAAAAAAAAAAAAAAAAACCAACCATCCAACCAACCAACCAAAACAACAAAAACCCCCAAAGCAACAACAACAACAAAAAAACTCCAAGAAGACCTTACAGTTGAAAATCCTATCTGGCAGATTTCTGGCTTTTTATTTTCTTTGTCATGAGTTTACCTTATCTAGGAAGCAAATTCCCACCCAGATGTTCACTTTCCACTACCCATCAGAAGGACAGAGGCAGAAAGTAGAAAAAAAAAACAGAAGTAAGAAAGCTTGTAGGTTGAGATGAAGACAGGGAGATCACTTACCAATTACTGTCATGGTAAAAGCAAACAGGAAAATGAATTTAATTTATTGCCCATTAGAATAGATTTGGGTAGTGAGAAACACAAGAGACAAACCTTAAGGCTTCTTGTTTCTGTTTGCTTTCCCAGCATCTCCAGACTCCTCTACCCACCCTCAAGTTACCCGGTGGTACAGTCAGTATTGGTATCATGCCTAAAGATTATTAGGTTTTTCATACATTTGTAGCTTTATAGATTTTTAATATATATAGTTGTATATATATAAAATAAATAATAAATAAATATATATATTTAATATATATAGTTGTATTACTTCTAGTGCTTTTCCTGCCTTTTCTCACATCTTTGAATAATGAAATTACCCTTTCTAACACATTCTTGAAGTTCTATTTAGTCTTAACATTAAGAAGAAAATTTCTGACAAGGACATCTTGCTTTCCAGCTGAACTTAAGACAACTAAGAAGACATAGGGCAAAGAATCCCCTGGACACCTCCAAGGGGCTGACATAAGAGTGGAATACTGGGGCAACTGATGTTGCCTCCACTGATGCATCCCCTATTGGATGTACCAGCTAGACATACTGATTAATTATCTTTACAAAAATTGCAGGAATCCTTTACCACACATGCTCATAGGCATATTTTGTCCACTCAAAACCTTTCATCAAAAATTGCTTTTCATCCTACCACTCTCAATATTGTTCAGAAAATTTTGTCTTTTGATTCCAGGAAACATCAGGAATATCCAGCCTCCTTTGGAGTGGGGTCCTTAACAGGAGCATCTGCCCCAGGGATACTATTGACAGACAGCAGTGTGGGCATCTGTTCCAGACTGGCAGTCTCCATAGAATGCTGGGAGAATTTCTGCTGCTCCTTCCTGCCTCCTTCTCCAGTGCTTGCATGGGTGTTTCTTATCTTGCTACATTCACTGAAATCACAAGGCAATTCCATGGAAATTCAAAGCTGAACACCACAATGGGAAGGGTGTTGGAAAAATTAATTCAGGAGCCTTGGGCCTAGCTGGCTGCATTCCTGCTGCTGGGACGGGCAATCGTCAGGTAGAAAAAACAGGCATGTCCTCTGCTGTAAAATAAATCACAAACAGAGAATACCATCAGACATATCAAAAGGTTTTACTCTTAGCGTAGGTGTTTAAGATGGAGGTGAACCATCAGTACACCATGGCCAAAGATCTGAAAATGTGACCTAGCAGATAGTTAGAAATTAGGCATCACACTTAAGCACCAGCTGAGGGACCAAACATTCTCCAGAAGAATGTCTGCCTGTAGGAGCCAGTAACTTGAAGGAGAAGGTGCCACTAGAGGGACCACTGATCTGATCTCTCTGAAGAAACACAGGAATCTCTGCACTGCCAAAAGTTATCTGGGTGGGATCATGGTGCCTTTCTTGATGTGAGTTTCACTGGTGAAGACATCTGAGCAACCAGGCAGTCCCACCTCACCTCTATCTACCCATCCCTGTTTCACAGCACTGTGATAAGGGGCACAGAGCATGCTACACATTTCTCAGGGGCTAGAAGAAAACTTAGAACAACTTTTCCTCTCTTTTTCATCAAGGACAGAAGAGGACATTTTGCACTACACTGCAGCTGAAAACCTAAATACTGGATAAAAGAAAATCTTTAACTAGCCTAAAATGAAGAGTTCAGGCAATGGAATAAAACACCAGAAAGAGCTCATGTAATCGAAGAAATAATATTCAGGGCAGGATGTGATACCCAATTATTTGGGATGGAAAAAGTCTGTGAAGTCAATCCTGTCACAATGCAGGGGGGTGGAATAGCTGTCCAGAGGCTTGCAGCCTTAATAAATGTGTATAGGAGAATACTGAATCAGCAGTTAAAGGAGACACCAAAACTGCAAACACAGAACTGTGATATTAAAGGACAGAGACAACGCTCTATTTACAATAAAATAAACATCGTTTACACATGTGTTACCCATTTAAGTGAGGAGATCGGAAATGGAAGCAGGCACTGTCAGGTTACATTTACAAGAGATGTATTTGATTTCAACATGCTTTGATTGAGACCCCTGCTACTTTCCTTTTGAAAATTGTAGAGTAAAATGTGCTGGTGAATTGTAAAGGTTTCATCCTCCTTGATGTATTTTTATTGAACACGACTTGTAGGCTTCAAATTTTAATACTCTGTCCCTAGACTGCTGTCACTCACCATATCACACTTCTCAATTCACAAGGGTTAGAGTTTGGGGGAAAATGGCCCAAACATAACCATTGGGACACTTTGTTTATCACAGGGATATATTGTCAAAATGTAAATTTATATTTTATAATTCCAATGGGAAATAAAAACCTGGCATTTAAAAGCAAAAACACACAAAAAAAATTTTTTTTCCCTTCCTCACTAACTGCCATGCTCTATCAGAAAACAAAAGTATTTCCTGATTATATTGCATTTATTTCCCAAGTGCTTGCTTCTCCTTCATAGGAAGTTTTTCATCAGGGTTTCAGAATAATGCCATGCTTTTCTTTCCTCCCTAAGACTTCCAGTGTTCAAACTTACAGATGGCAGCATCCTTCTCAGACATCATTTTCATTGCTACAAACTTCTGTGCCTCTGGAGTAGGCCACCTTATGGTTCTGATATGCCACTAATGAGTCTCCCATCTCTTCAGCAGTAAACAGTCTTTTTGCTAGTCAATATTTGTGCTGCATTGTGCACACAAAACCCTGTGAATCTTGCCCCCACTAGTGCGCACATTTTATGGATATAAATGCATTTTTCTGTTGTTGCCTTCCAGAGACTCAGGATTACTGGACTTTTTTGTGTATTCACAACATCTTGTGTGCTTAGATCATAAATTTTCCATGAAAAATGTATGCTTGTGGTAGTGGGCAATCTATCTGTATTACTAATTCAGTATCTCTGGAGCAAAAACTAAATATATTGACTTTTGTCTAGTTAGTTGTGCTTGGTCCTTGTGATTCTACTTAGAATAAAACAGAGATCGACGTCATTTAAAAAGTGTGAGCTTTTCCTGGAAAAACTCAAATTCAGTATTCCTTAGTAAACACACTGGGTTTCACTGTAAAAAAATGAATGAAATGGGTTTAAGGAAGTCCTTATTAGCTGCATTAGTATTCTGTGAATGTGGGAGCATAGTATGGACACAATAAAGTACAAGAGACTCCTAATTTATATTTGTTGGATCATCAGGTAAAATGAAATAGAACCCTGTCTTGGGAATTTCTTACGAAAATAAATAAACAATTTTCCCCAAACATATAACCTGGAGTTTAAGGTATAAATAATAGCAGGAAGGGTTCATGAGCTAAATAAGACTGACATAAATGAAAGGTATATGCTCCATCTATGGCTATTCCTGAGGTGGAATTTTCAGAGACGTGCCAGGACAGCTCTGTTGAGTTGCACTAGGGCATCTGGTCACATTACAACTATTCTAGATTTTTTACAATGTACATCAAATGAAAATTGGATTCTGATCAGCTGAGTCAAAACCCCTCAAAGAACCATGAGTATAAAGTATCTCAAACTATATTTGAAACTGTATTTCAATCAAAAGTGAGATAGAAGGATCCCATTTAACAATTAGCATAGAAAGCATCCATAATCCTGGGGAAATGGTTTTTCCCAGCCTCCCTTTCCTGCTTTCTGCATTCTTAATTCCAGGTATCTTGATAGACAGCAAATACTGCAAGGACCCCTCAGCCTGGTAAGAAACTAATAGGGCTGGAGTCCATTAAATCAGCCTCCCACTTGCATCTACAATCCTGTCTTCATTATGTTGTAGAAAACTTTAAAATAAGAATTAATACTCTACAAACTCAGATTCAACTAATATTATTCATCTTATTAATACTTGCTGTTGTGAGAATTATCAGGAGATAATTGACCTTGTCAGTGTTATGCACCCTCTGCATTATTGTTGGATTTTTCCACTCCCCTCATGCTTAATTATAACTTGATAAAGCTGAAAATAAGTTTATTTTCCCTTTCCCTGCTTTAACCATAGAATATCAAAGAAAAGGGAGCTGGGGGAGGAGGAGGGAATAAATCTAAAACATGTAATCTGCTCAATTAATAAAATGAATCTAACGGAGTTGCTCCCTGGGGCCTGACAAATGCACCTGTCACCATCACCAGAAAACTAATATAAAGCAGATGTCCAGACATTTTTCCTCCACTATTCTCTATACACGTATTTTAAGAAAACAATCCTCTAAATCAAGCTAGTGGGTAGTGGACTGACCTGTTGTTTTTGGGGTTTTTTTTAAACACTGATTTTCTGCCACACTCATGCTGCTCTGCTGGCAACAGTTAGCACAGCAAATGCAGGGCTTTTCAAAAATGTATTCAGTATCTATATGCACACTTAAATAACAGACATTCTATCCCCCAGCTGCAGCCTTTTTAAGCACTATTTCATACATCAGCCCTAAGATGGCATTCCAGCAGATTTAAGACTCACATGATCGGAACATTGATAAGGGAGCGGTGCAGTTACTCCTGTGTGTGAAAACTGGTGGCTGTGCCCTGGGGATTAGAGAGGAGATGAAAACATCCAGTCTTCCTGCTGTCATTGATGTATTCATCCCTAGATGCAGTGGCTAGCTTCCACCTCCCTGAAGATGCCTTCAAACCCCCAACACAGGGACTGAGTGGTACACACAGGATGAAGAAAGCCTTCAGCCCTTTGAAAGGCATCTTGTGTGACCTTCAGCATTGCCTTTTAGTCCCTTTTGTGGCTGTGTTTTCCAGACTGTAAAAAAGGTAGAGTAGTCCCATAAACAAAGAGCTGATTTACCTGTAGCTGTGACTGTCTCCCTGAGCATGGATCACAGCTGTCAGGAGAAGAATTTTGCAAAAGAGACATTAGCATTTAGCCACCTATTTAATAAAAAAAATATCCATGGAAAGGAAATATGTTAACTGCAAGTCTTAAGTTTTGCAAAATATTCTACTACAAAATATTCTCTAAAATTTTTGCCATGGGTTGAGATTTTCCTCATGCAGCTGGCCAGGAATGTTTCCCTGTTGGTGTGATATTTGACTCACTAAGTCCATGCTAACTACTGGCTGTATATTCAGTTAAACCAAGTATTCTTTTTTTTTTATTTTTCTTTTTGAATTTTCAGGACAGTAGGAGGTGAACAACAAAGACAATCATATCCAACTTATTTTTTTCTTTCTTTCTTTTTTCTTTTTAGGGGTAGGTTGCCCTTTGAATCAGCTGATGTTTTTTGTCTTTGGACTCAGTAAACAAAGAAGCTTCTCTTCTGCCTGTGTATTGGATGAGCTTCATGGCTGAAGCCTGTACTACAGAGATGCCTACAAAGTGCTGTATTTGGTGTTTATCTTTGTGTCACATGACAGATTCAGAGGGATTTTTCTGGATATTCCTATGGGGTTTATCCAAAACATTTTTTTCTAATAGTCATGTTAGTTGAGGTACTTTAGATATTTATCTCATTGCTCAGACACCAATGCCCGTAATTTAATAGTAAATTTTGGAAGTGGGCTCAGTTCACTTTAAAATCAGTTAGCTTCTGTCAGTGGAGGTTTTGAATACCTTGTTTATAGGATCAGCAGGGTTATTCAATAGGAAAAAGTGTGGAGAACTATTTTTCAAAACATTAGAGTTGTCTGAAAATAGGGTCCTTTCACAATGAAATTCTCCTATACAAAAACAAAAACAAAAAAAATAGAAATCACAAATTATTACAGAACATAGCTCTCCAAAATGTTTGATATGAATTAATGATTTCTGTAGAATTTTTTTCAGAAAGATGAAAAAAACCTTGGCAGTATGAGTCCATTATTTTAGATAACCATCCTACAATTATTTTAAAGTGTTTCTTATAGTTAAACTAGACATTCTCTCACAGACTTTTCTGAATCCAATTCTTAAAAGTACATATTTTATATGTTTGTTTGTATGTTTTAAGTTTTGCATTAAAATTAAGGAACTATATAAAATGCACAATCTCTATTTAATGCAAGTAAACCTGGAAGTCCTATTACTTCTATTGGTAGCAAGACTTTTGCCTGGACTGGCAGGTTAGAATAGGTTAGAGAGAAAAGGCACCATTTTTTTTTTCTATCTGAAGCCAACAAAATCAGACTAAGTCTTGGATATAATGAACTTAACTTCAAGAAAAAGAAAAACCAAAACAAGGTTTTGATGCTCTTGTGTTTCAAGCATAATATTGCCTACTTCTACTCCCACTCTTTCCACACAGGAACACAGGTTTCTGTTTCCATAGTTTACATTCAGATTTGTTTGTTGTACAAAAATGAGCTAGTCTGAGTACCCAGACTGGATAAATAAAGATCACTTGTTATTCCATCTTTTTAAGCTTGAATGTGATGTGAGGGTGTGCTGCCCCCAACCCCTTAAACTATAACCACTTGTGGGGGCTGTGATGACTGTAGACAGATTGATAACTGGACTGGCAACATGGTAGACAAATGCTGTCTGGAACAGTGACCCAAAAATCTTGCTGCTTTGCAAACCTAATTCCATCATTTCACACCATAAATAGTGGGCAGACACTGAGTTTTCCTGCCTGCAGTCTCCCCTTGAACAAGGATGCCCCTCAATGCTCCTCTTGAGGTTCAAATTCCTTGCTGAAAGTGACCCTTAGTAAGTGATTAATGGCATGTTATAATTTGAAATCAGAGGTAAGGAATATAAAGAATCGACTAAGCACATATAAACCCTTAGAAGTAAACTTTTGACCAAGTCTGGGATTAGAAGTGGATGAAGGTGCACCTAGAGTGTTCTTTGAGAAAGTTCTTTCTGAAACCTCATGTCCTAATGAGATCATCTGCCTGACAGTTCTGTGTAATCCTGTTCCCCATGCAGCAAATAATCCACTGTGCCTTGCTGTTGAATCTTGGTAAATCACTGCCACATTTCCCACAGAATTTTCTTAGATCACTGTTTTATTTCAACAGAGTGTGTTGTATCTTTTCTCTTCAGAGTGAAGTGCATCACTCCCTTGGAGGTAACTGGTTATATAATCTCACAGTTCCACAAAGCATATCCAGTCAAGACCTATATTAAATACCTTCAGTAGGTCCTGAGTTGACTATTAGGTCAAGGAAAAATGGAATAGGAGGATTTCTTTGGTTGTACTCCCTGCATAAGCCATTCTGACCATCATCACATGAGATCTTGTTCTTGAGATGAGGCCGCTGAAGGTCCTGTTGTAAACCAGGTCTGTCTGATCTGGACACTAAAGGAACCCATAAAGTTTGGAGGTGGAACTCAGTGTTCCACCCGTGCTGTGCCCCAAAACAATGACTATTTCAGGCTCTTCCACGGGCCATCTGAAATATCTAAAACATATTTTGATTAAATAGACCCAAGTCTAGTTTTAAGTAATTGATAAAATTTTTATTGATTTATTGTACTGGAAAATAGGCAGAAAGCTATCAAAGCTAAAGTTAACATTTTTTGTAGGTTTTAACACAATAATTTTAAATGTCTTTGTCTCTGCATCCTCTCCAGTGACAGGTATTATTAAAAAAGCAAAATTATACTTTAGAGCGTGAAGCAGCTTGAGATATTATGAAAGCTGGAGTACTGCAGAAGAGTAAGCTCTTCTGTGCTTTCTGAAGACAAGGCATCTGATGCTTAAGTGCTGGCATAGGTTGCAAGTCTCTTTGGTTTTTTCTTTGATCACAGATTTCCTTCCTGCCCAGCTTTGGCCAAGTCACTTGAATTTGTTGATTAAATGTTAAACAGAAAGAGTGATATTTCTACATCTCACAGTGACAGAGAGGATATTTATTTAAATTCTTTATACAAGACTGACAAAGACACCCTTGACATGTACCCATACAATGGTAAATTGAAGAAATATCCTTAATAAGCCCCAACAATTAACAATTATCCCATAAGCCAGTACCTTTGCATCCTCTATATCAAATTTACCATGCAAAATCCATTTTTATGCTGAGCTCTACTGATAAAGGAAGGCTTCGTTAAAA